AACATTTTCAACATGGGTTTTCTTAGCACACTTATCATGTACAGTTTTACGAAAGAAAGGTTCCATTAATTCTTGTATTACCTTAGTGAACTTCTTTACACTGGAGTCGATGGATTCCTGATTTAATTCCCCCCTAATCTGGACATGTTCCTTAAGCTTGTCAGAATTTATATTTAATGACTCTGTGAATTGATGTTTATATTCATCATTCCATATATATTTCGGACTGTCCCTACCGTTACAATTGCCTTCAACAGTATCATTAATTGTGGACACTCTTTTACCATATAACTGTACATGTAAAGGAGCATGATCAGAAAACTCTGTAAAATTACATACTACAAATTTGTTCACAGTTGAGAACAAAGAAAAAGGCATTAACATATAGTCTATCACACTCATCCCATTTGATCCACAGAAAGTAAAAACATTTGATGATCAGTCTATATCTCTACCATTTCTGATTCGCAGACCATAAGATTTACATAGCTTAATTAATCTAGCACCATAGTCATTCGTACCAGGATCTGGGTTTACCCTATTAGGTAAATTGTCATCAGCATCATCAACTAAGTAGTTGAAAATAGATTCAATGTGGTTTCTGACACTCTCATGAATGGTATCGTAAGTTATAAAATCATCAGTTGTGCGTGTTCGAGCATTAAAATCACCTATAATTATCACATTCTTAGATTCAGAGTATTCCAACAAGATTGTCTCTAACTCATGAAAGATATCACAGTTGTAATGTATATAGTATTGCGAGGAGCTCGGAGGAACATATGTAAAGATAACAGTATAGTCTTTATTCTGGTCAAGTAGACATTTATCAATAGTCACGGGTATTATGCTATCAAAAAGAGAATTTCCAACAGAACAAAGTTATAAATACTATCGCGTATTAGCAAAATGTTTCCACCCCCTTGTGTATATCGAGTTAATTTTCTAGGCATAACAACAGACTTGAAATTTTCAATATCTACAGTGTAATCGTTTGAGATCCAACATTCGGATAAAAATGCTATGTCGTAAGATAGAATGAATTTTCTGAAATCTACTTCATTGAGCTTCTTATCAAAACCACCATTAATGTTCCAAGTTAAAATGTTTACATCCAACTCATGATAAGACTGTCCGGAGTGATTAGCATCACACGACTCCCTCCGACGCCCCTAGCTGGGAGTGGTAGTGTTCCTCCTTCTCCGTTTGTCTGGACGACCCGACGTCGGCGTGGTTTCAAGCACGTCACGATAAGATCGTCCGTGGTCACCAGAGTCAAAACCCACGTTCTTGCCACCTGAGTAGCGGCCATTGCCAGCGGCAGTACCTTCAGCAACCCCAACTGGTGCAGGAGCTGAAGTGTGAGGTTTACCATCTATGAATAGTTTATCGCGCACCAGCAGAGTGTTGTGCCCGTTGGCCCTGGCCTGCTTCCTGATCGGGTATAAGTTACGGCGTTCGTTCTCAATCTCGACAGGAAATTGTTCGTTGATACTATAAGGACTACCACGCAGTTTGAACGAATGTAAGAGGTCTTTGTAGTAAACAAAACGTGCCACCACAGGTCGCGGTTTACCATGCTTAGCCCTCCCGAAACGGTGAACATTTCCGAACTCAACGTTGTGTTCGACTCCTAGTTCTCCGTAAAGAAAATCCCGCAACACTGCCTCCGTGTTCTCCTCCTTGTGTTCCCCGCGCAAACCGCTGAAAATCAAATTGTTTTTCATAGAACGACAACGAAGATCGAGCATGTTCTCGTTCATTTTCACTTTCTCCCTTGTCAGAGCGTCTATGTCCTTTTTCAAGGTTGATAACCCAGCAGCAGTGTTGTTCTGGACGTCACCCATAGAAGCCTTGTTTGCGTCAACTTGGCTCTTGACCGAATCAAAAATATACTGAGCGCTCTTCTCAAAGTCACGCGACCTTGAATCAATGTCCTGAATCTTATTTGCGAGCTCACTGCTTTTGACTTTCACATTTCCCAGTTCGTGCTCTAATTGGTTGACCTTAACAGATATTGCAGACAAGGTATTTTGGACTTTGTCGACTTTGTCGTTTAAACGGAGGTCCATCTTTGTAATAAGTTCCATTATCACGTCCAACTTATGATCAGTGTCATTGTTCTTTGCTCCATTATTATATAAAACGCTATGGGCTTCCCCAACTACTCGTGAGGTAGACCGAGACAGTATCAATGTTTACACCGGACAGTGTACACCCGTGGTGAGCCCCACTATAGGTAAGCAGCACGACGTCGCTCAGCATACACAGCTGCTCAGCATACAAAGCTGCTCAACAGATCTAGAGCGGCGCAATAGAGCGTGACGAAAATGTGACCATCGATTGCACTATAGTATTCACAACGCTATAAATAAATACACGTACTCGAGTATAATGAATATATAGTTGCGATCATTCACAACGACAAAAAGTCACTTTCCATCTCACAAAAAAATCACAAAATTAGCACGGAATGTTCTTATCACTTACTTCAGGATGTACACCTCTGAGAAGTCAACTTATATTGATTTTTGGAAAAAGGAGATAATGGCATATTAGAAAATGCAAAAAAAACTATATGTCGGTGTGTTCGTTTTTGTGCTATGATCGGTCAAAGATACCAATTTAACACAAAATGTGATTTTAGGTGAATTTTCGGGTTTTGACCATTGGCAGAACAAATTCATACAATTTCTTCCAAGTGTGTTATCAGATATGTATGAATGTTTGTAGAATTGATAAAAATATTATTTTCTTTGAAACTATAGAAGTAAAATATCTTAAACTTATTCATTTTACTAAAAAATGCCATTTTAGTTACCCCTACCCCTTATTTTTTAATGAAAAAATGCACATTTTTCACCATTTTTTGCCGATTAAACGCTTGATATAAAAAATTCCTGTAATAAACTTTTTTTAGTATTCAATGAATCGAAAGAAAATGAGTTTCTCTTTCTAAAACAGCCACAAAAATGGGGGGTCGGTGTGCTTCTTTTTTTGTCCCATTATTATTTGTGTTATTTTTCACCTTTTTCGGGGTCAAAAATCAAAAGTGCTTCAGTTACCCTAATATGTAAAAAAAAATATCAATAATATATAACTTTCCACTTTTTTGCATATTATTTTGATCATATTGAACATTATAAAGTTGTACAGCAAAATTGAACCTGCTACAATTAAAAATGGTGACACAATGACAATTTAAGTGATCAATCTAGTGTCAAAAAAGGTGAATTTTGGCCCTTTGTGAAGCGCAAGAAATTGTCATAATTACACTTTTTCAAAATGGCCGCCAAATTGGTCATTTTTTAAAAATTCTTGTAAAAAATGTTCTACGCACAACAGACATCTAGCTTTTTTACATGTTTTTTAGATGTGTGTTTGCTATTATACTTATCATAATTTGTTAAATATTACAAAAAACCGTTACACCAGATCAAAACGAGACTTGAACGTGACTGAAACCTCAGAAGAGTACATCCTTAATTGCTTCTCACTGAACAGATACTAATTTCCAAAGCGGTAAGTATGTCTTTCCATTAAAATCTTCGTTCAACCCACAGAGCAAAATTCAAAACATCCGCCATTTTCAAAGGGACACAACCCCAGTCCTATGGAGCAATTTTTCAGTTTCGATTGTCACGGTTTTTTTTGTAACGTTACAATTTGTTCTGTCAAAAGCAACACGTTTCTCCTGACGATTTCCATTAGTCCCATCAAGTTCAATAATAGTAAAACAGCATAATTTCATATCCAATAGAATAATTTTGTACGTTTATTTCAGTGATAATTTGGTGATATGAACTAACTCGGTCTGGGTCAATATCGCTTTCTCAGATTAATATAACTACATATTCACTCATACAAAAGTCTATAATTAATTAATAACGTCCACCTGATCTAGAAGGAAAATGAATAACAGATTTATCCATAGTCGAATATCAATCCGTCTGACCCATAGGTCGAATAAACACCTGTCTGACCCCTAGGTCAAATAAACACCTGTCTGACCCATACGTCAAACAAACAGCTGTCTGACCCATAGATCGAATAAACACCTGACTGAACCATAGGTCAAATAAACATCTGTCTGACCCATAGGTCAAATAAACACCTGTCTGACCGACAGGTCGAATAAAAGCCTATCTGACACATAGGTCAAATACAAACCTGTCTTACCCATACGTCAAATAAACACCTGTCTCACCCATAGGCCAAAACAACACTTGTCTGACCCATAGGTCGAATAAACACCTATTTGACGCATAGGTCGAATAAACGCCTTTCTGACGCATATATTAAATAAGCACCTTTCTGACCCATAGGTCAAATAAACACCTGTCTGATACATAGGTCGAATAAACGACTGCATACGTGTAGTTGTCTGAGCTATAGGTCAAATAAACACCTGCCTGACCCATAGGTCAAATAAACACCTGTCTGACCCATAGGTCAAATAAACACCTTTCTGACTCATAGGTTAAATAAACACCTGTCTGATCCATAGGTCGATTAACGACTGCATACGTGTAGTTGTCTGAGCTATAGGTCGAATAAACACCTGTCTGACCCATAGAGGTCGAGTACTGTAGTGTCCCCTTACCTCAGTACTGATTCGTTATTATACCGTTTACATTGATGTACTACGGCACATTAGAAGCACAGTGTTAATTATCCAGTTACACCAATGAAGATGACAATCCACAAAAATCTTTCAACACTTCCCTTTGCTAAAAGGGTATAAAAACTCATACACAATCTGGACTGGTACATAGACAGTGGACAAATATTAGTGAACAGTTGTCATTGTTAATCTACCGAGTTGTAATATACGTGTAGGTAGACGTCTGCATATCACAGCAATCTACCCGGTAACTGATACAACTTTAATATAGGCTAGAATATATCGATCTCAACAGAATGATTTTTTATAACGCATTTGACAAATTGTAAAATAGTTCTATAACCAAGATATCAATAATGGTAATAATAAAACGTACAAGCCTTTCTTCCATGGAACTGTCTCATCATTCCACTCCTGGGGCACTATGCGGTTCCCGGAGAGTTTTGCAAATGCATAAATCACGTGCGTACACAGAAATGGATCTATATCCTTTGGCAGGAATTTGCCAACATCATCGCGGTACTGGGACCAGTTGGTGTAGTAGCAGACCTTTTTATAGGTCACGTGGTCTGCATTAGCAGCATATATTAAATAAAGAGTCACTGTAAAACAAAAAATCAGAAAAATCTTAAGGTGTTGTTTGTCATCGGCGATTACGCTCAAATTATCTGTTTCTATGTAAAGAGTGATTGAAATTCGACGATAAATGGGTTGTCCTTCTTTACTACGGGAGTTTAAGATAAAAGATGGTTGCTCTACAAATTGATTGGCTAGAATATTACAAACGTGTTTTATCTGTATCACAGAACGGAACATGTTACAAAGCTAGAATATTGAATGTCGCATGGTCATTATTTAAGATTAAAATTAACAAGATACGAAATAGGGCTCCTATAGTGACCCCTAACGACAGATGAATACTATCATCCTATATTTATTCTATGCTTCAACAATAAAATTGTGTATAGTTAACCTTTAAAAGAAGGAGCCTTCGTGTAAAATTTAGCCTGTGCTGAATACAACAGTTCGGCATCGTAGCTTTCGAAGGCATCGTCAAGGTTCATTTCCTTAAGATAAGCATGGAGGACACGTACTACGTGTTTGGTGGCCTTTTTTGTGTTATCAGATTTTTTTTATCTTCAAATAGTTTTGGTAATTTTCAGATTAAACAACGGAGACGAAGCGTTCGCCAGCTGCAATCCTTTGTTGGAATTCCAATTGGCATTTGGTAGATCGCGTTTCACATGCGCTGCGGCAGGTTTCGGGGAATTTCAATATAGGCTATATTAAGAAATCAATATTCACCGGATAACCTATCTACATGAGTTTTTGAGGACTGAACACGTGTTTAGGATCCGATCAATGTGATTGCGAGTAATTTTCAAGCATACACACCCTATACTGTCCCCTGATGACTGATGTACACTATCATCATATAGTGTCCCCTGACGACTGATGTACACTATCAGAGTGTAGCGACCCCTGACGACAGATATACACTATCAGTGTGTAGTGACACCTGACGACTGATGTACACTATCAGTGTGACCCCTGACGACTGATATACACTATCAGTGTGACCACTGATGACTGATGTTCACTATCAGTGTGTAGTGACACCTGACGACTGATGTACACTATCAGAGTGTAGTGACCCCTGACGACTTATATACACTATCAGTGTGTAGTAACCCCTGACGACGGATGTACACTATGATCGTGTAGTGAGCACTGACGACATATCAACTTTAATCGTATAGCGACCCCTGCCGACAGATATACACTATCAGTGTGTAGTAACCCCTGACGACGGATGTACAATATGATCGTGTAGTGAGCACTGACGACATATCCACTTTAATCGTATAGCGACCCCTGCCGACAGATATACACTATCAGTGTGTAGTAACCCCTGACGACGGATGTACACTATGATCGTGTAGTGAGCCCTGACGACTGATATACAAGACGACTGATATACACTATCAGTGTGTAGTGTCCCCAGACGACTGATATACACTATAATCGTATAGTGAGCCCTGACGACTAATATACACTATCAGTGTGTAGTGACACCTGACGACTGATGTACACTT